TTGTTCCCTGCTAAAAAAAAAAGTTTGTGAATTCATTTAAATAATTGTTAAAATATATCTGTCATTTTTGTGTTTTTAGCTTTCTTCCTGTATGGGAAGCTTTTCAACATTTGAAACATTAGTGCAGTGGTTTATGTTAAAATAAACCTTTGGGTTAAGTTGTCGCAAGCAGGTTTTTCTTGTGTTTCTTGTGAATTTGGTCTTAAATTTGTATTTCAAGTGGCATTAAAAAGTCTTGAATTTAACTTGCCTTATGCTGTAGGAACCCTGTGGAATGGATCACAGGCTTAAGGGGTTGGAATAATTGTTCCTGGCTTTTCTGTAGCAGAGAACTCTTTTCCTTCTTCGATCACATTTTGATGCTTTTATAATCAATCTACTTTAACAAGCTGCTGCTTTCCTTCCTTACAGACACTCATTCATTTAAGAAAATGGAGTTCCAGCCAGCAGAGGCCAAGAAGTTTTTCAGCACCGTGAGAAAAGAGATGGCTCTGCTGGCTACATCGCTGCCCGATGGGATCATGGTGAAAACATTTGAGGACCGCATGGTGCGTTTCATTTCATTCCTGCTAAACTGGACTGATCCTCAGTCTGTGCAGATCCACCTTAAGGCTCCAGATATTTCAATAATACTAAAACATGTTGCTAACAGTTATTGTTTAGACGGTTCTGCGTTGCTTCAGTCTGAACGCCAGCCTCCTTTAGAGTATCTGAATATGTCTTCTTTCCTCCTGGGGCCCAGGACCTGTTTTCAGCGCTGATCAAGGGGCCGACTCGGACGCCGTACGAGGACGGTCTCTTCCTGTTCGACATCCAGCTGCCTAACATCTACCCGGCCGTCCCGCCGTTGTTCCGCTACCTGTCCCAGTGCAGCGGGCGCCTCAATCCAAACCTCTACGACAACGGAAAGGTCTGCGTCAGCCTGCTGGGCACCTGGATCGGCAGGGTGAGCGCCGCTGCGTCGAGCCTCGCTTTATCCGTCCCTAACTGCTCATTAGGTCTGATTGTTATGGTTCTGTCCTGATTGACAGGGAACAGAGAGATGGACCAGCAAGTCCAGCCTTCTGCAGGTCCTCATCTCCATTCAAGGTCGGTCAGACTCACTCCTCGCTCTGTTTATTCATGTTGATCTGTTTACAGGAGCAGTGACTCCTTCTGCCTTTTAGGAAAACTCTGCATGTTTATTTCTCCTGAATGCGTCAATTAGTTTGGAGTAAATGTCTAAATATGGAAAAAATGTCCTTCTGAAGTTCTTCCTGTGTACAAACTGTGAGATGTATCGGTAATTATAGTAGATATTCCAAAAAGTTAAAGAAATAAACAATCCACTGGACTTTCTTTTAAAGTTTGAAAATGTTTCTCTTCCATCCAGGAAGCTTTTTCAATTCAAAATGTCAGAAATAGCGTTAAGTTTGAAGCTTTATAGAGTGGACCAACAAAGCCTTGTTCTGGCTTAGAAACATGCAAATAGAAACGGATGAACGGGTCCCCCCCTTTGGAATGGGGGCCGTTTGGCTTCTTTGTTAGCCTGCAATGCCCCATACCTGTCTATGTCTCTGAAAGGGGGTCATTAAAGGGAATAGTTGGGCTGGCTGAACAGGTGAGGTCTTATGTTCTCCTGTAAAGGGGTGTTCAGGTAACGCTTTCTTTTACAGTACATCAATAACCTGGAAATAACGTAAAGTTACTCTTTATTACTTGGTAACGAGAAAAACTTGATGGAGAGTTTTGGTAAGTTTTGTGCTTTAAATTTTAGGCAAACAAGGTAAAGTCAGAGTTCTTATATTTCAAACTATTATTACCATTTAACTCTATTAATTTCCCAAACAGCAATAAATGAATGAGTTATTAGCTGGTAAAATGCAGTTTATTACCTGGTATATAACAGAAAACCAAACCTAGAAGACAGAAAACCAATATTCCTAACTAAGCTCTTATTTATATCTAACTTTAGTTCAATTAATTCATGTTTATTTACCTGATCAAAAGTTCTAATTTACTTTCTAAGCCATTGATAGGTGGTGGCCAATAATAGAAACTATTATGTGGAACCCAATGGTTATAATTTAGGTTATTTTGAAATTATATACCTTAATTTGGGGGTACTTACCCAAAAACAGTTTTTCTTGTTACCAAGTACTGAAGTGTCACTGTGGATATAAAGATCAGAGCATTCCTCACTGCATTGAACTGCAGACAGCGCTCC